AGTCAATGACTTGTCCAAAGTCACACAGCCCGTAAATGTCAAAGTCAAAACTGAAATTAGGTCGCCAAGTTTCTAATTCAATAATTTCCCTCATTTTCCCATACTATATGAATCTACTCCAAAATTTAGGGACAAAATTACATGATGAAAACTTTTGAAAAGTTAGTTTCCAGGGGCTGGCCCCGTGGCCAAGTGGTTAAGTTGGTATGCTTCGCTTCAGCAGCCCAGAGTTTCGCCAGTTTGGATCCTGGGCGTGGACATGGCACCGCTCATCAAGCCATGTTGAGGCGGCATCCCCCATGCCACAACTAGAAGGACCCACAACTAAAAATATACAACTATGTACTGGGGCAGGCATTGGGAGAGGAAAAAGAAAAAAATAAAATCTTAAAAAAAAAAGTTAGTTTCCTTACCTGACATGGTGAGAGAAGATGAAGGATTGGCTGTGGATCCAAGTATGAGAAGATGATACCACATGAAGTCTGAGTGGCTGCCAACAAAGAGCGGTGTGTCCAGTACGAAAGTCACTGGTCACACTGGTCACTTGCGATGATCCAAATTTATTTACAGACAACTCCATGGGAACCCCAAGATTCTACCAGGTGGCAATAGGTCTAGGGGGAGAATGATGTCACAGAGCAGGTAGTTCAAAGGTACGAGACAGCCAATAGGGTGGCCAGATTCCCCACAAGAAGATGGGATTGGGTGGAGGGAGTCGGGGGAGAGCTACAGCAGCACCTGCATGGCTGAGCTCTGGGGAGGTGACATCCTAGGAGCCACATGTGCTAGTCTCTCTTCCCCAGGCTCTTATGTTAGGGAATCCTCTCAACGATCCTTATAGATGTTCATTAATGTAATTAACCCATAGTTCTTTGTATTCTATGAATTATACTTTATAATATATATTGTACATTAGTAATTACATGTACAGTTAGTTAATATCCTTAGAGAGGAAGGAAAAGGACATCTAGGTTGACCTATTACCGTTGTTCTGAAATCCTACCAGGTGATCTAACGGTGAACTTACTGCAGGTTTTAAGGAGCAAAGGAAAGGACTGGGAGCTCTTTCCGTAACTTGGTTAAAGAGTAGGGTGAGGTTTGTTGAGTGCCCCTTGTGAGGAGTGATGTGGTTCAAAGCTCTTCTCTTTCAGTTTTTTCCCCTTGAATCCTACCTTCCTTCGACAGGGCTGGGCTGGGCTGGGTTGGACTTGCATCTCTCTGCTGCTCTCCTTTTCTTTTTTCTGCATTATAGACCTTATTTCTGGGACCAGCCACGATCTTGTATCTTACCCTCTTGGATATTATTTCCTGTCACCTTCCAGCAGCAGAAGTCTTCCTTCCAGTGCCTGATGCTTCTGAAAATGGCATCTGCCCATTAGAAGCAGATGCCAGAGAGCCAGAGACAGAGCTGAGGGCAGAACTCTTCTCTTCCAGCCTTGGGTTGCAATTCTTTTGCCCGTAATTTGCTACCTCTGGCTCCTTGGACCACACAGGCCTCCTTGCATCCCTCTCTTTTATACATGAGAGGCATTTGGGGTCCTCCCCTTTTCTCCTCCCCTAAGTGTATCCAGTGTGGCAGTTGCTGTAGCCTCCTCCCTCTTGGAAACAGCCACTGTAGAACATTGGGCCTCTAGGGTTCTCTGTCAGCCATGGTTGTGTGCAAGGCCAGGCAACATGAAGAGGAGAATAGTGAGAGAAAGAGGAGGACATTCGTGGATAATAGGGAAGAGGCAAGGTGAAAGGGACCTGAAAACAACTGTCTGTGGATTTTTGGGTTTCAGTGAGAAACAGGTTGACACATTTTGCCTTCATTTTGTGTTAAGAGAACAGACAGTTCAGTATATATTTATTCATTTTGCTGAATGCTCCTGCAACATCCACGAATTATGTACACTAAAGAGAACCTTAAATTACTCTTTCTCACTTTGTTTTATGTGATATTACATCATTTATGTTATTCATTGGTATGCTTGTAGAATATGGGTTGTTTTCAAATGCTCTGGGTCTGTCTCCGTGTTTTTCCTGGTTGTGTTTTTAAGGATCCAACACTGGGAGACAGATCACATGCTGTTCCCCTGATGATTGTTCATTTAAGCGTCATGAACTAACTTGACCTGAAGGGTTCTGTGGAGAAACTTACGAGGGGTCTGTGAGAAGCATTGTGGTGAGTTGCACAGTGCCCTCACGCCTAAGGAGCAGATGTCTGCAGTGCACCCGGCTGGCCTGGGAGCCTCTGCTTTTGTGCCCCTGCTTAGTGCTCTTCTCTCTAATCACTCTGGTGACTGCGAGACAGTGGGCGAGGGCTGAGTTGCTGCTGATTTGTATGTGGATTCAGCTGGTTTGGGGAGGAAATCTGTGGATCTAGTCATTTTCCTTGGTGGTAAGCTTTTCAGATGCCTAGGTGGACGTGTCTCGGGACTTTTCTAGTGCGAATGAGTAGGAGGTGTGTGATCCAAGATGCCAAGAGCCCATGAGAAGATAGCTGCTAGATGTGACCTCCAAAGACACACATTTCATTTATAGGCCTATTTTTCCTGTTGTGAAATGAGAATGTTTTGAGTGATGGCAAAGGATGCTTACCTGAGAAGAAATTGTGAAGGGTGTTGCAGTGTAGAGATATGGCTTGAGCTCATGAAATCTTTGAAAGTTTTTGCCCTTAAGCTTTATACATCAGATAGCTTACTTCCATGACATTAGGATGTAAAGTGAGGCCAATGACATATCCACACACACACACACAGGTCTGTCTCTTCTCTCTGTTCCTGTGGAAATGAAGGGAATCCAGAGCTACTTCAGATTAGGGTTGGTGGTGTAAGATTGGGGGAGCTCTGGAAAGACAAATTCCAGTAGCAGTAACATGTTTACACATGAAAATATTCACTTCCAACATCCAGTTTACTTAGACAAACCCTTACTTGGGCCTTTCCTGGTCCCAGCCTCTATAACCACTTTCTCTCCATAGTTCCAGCCATTTAACCTTAGCTTACAGCCTCAGCATCATCTTAACCTCTAAGAGAATCTTAAATGAAGCAGGAAGAACCTCAGAAGCTTTAGTCCAATGCTCTACACTCTACAGTACAAGCCTTACACACACAGAAAGTCTTTTTTTATAGTTCGGGTATTGTCTTGTTCCATAGAAACACTTCCTGCATTTTGTTCCCATGGAGATAACTGAGACTTGTCTTGCTGTAACATACACCATCCATCTATCCGTGAGGCTCTTCCTTACTCTCCCCATTGTCACTTTTTGATTTTATTAAGGCCTGGAATCCCTTAAACTCCTCCATGTATCCTGGGGCTCTACCACATACTGGCATATTTTGTTAGTATCAACTGCTTAGCTGTTTGGGGCTCAAAATATTCCTTACTCCTATATTTTCCATTCCAGTGTCCTGCGTACCTATTAAGGCATTCTTTTACCTCATGTTGGCTTCATACCTCTGAGGCCTACACTTTTGTTGCTTCCCATTCTTTTTGGAAACTCTGTTATGCTTAGGTCTAGATTTTCTTGTGTCAGCTGAGATGTTCCCACCCCAGCTTGTGTCATTTAGCAAATTGGAAATGCAAGACCAATATAGCTTTTACAGATTCTGATAGATTTATGTCACATTTCGTGTAGTCATGTCTATAGATATTTTTACCCTATGTACTTTTATGCCAATACGACACCTATTGGATATTTTTTTTCATAAGTTCCAAGTGAATATTTTCTGATGTAATATCAAACTTGAATGTGCCGAGTTGTAAGTTTTCAAACTATGCTGTGCTAACTTCTGTCGTTATTTTTCCGAATACCAACCTACTAATATTGACCCAGTGTTAATTATGTAAATATTTCTGAACTGTAAATGCTTGGGGTTTTGAACTTGGTTAGACTATGACTGTCCCAGAAATGTTAAAGTTGGTGATCATTTTATCCATTCATTCATTTATTTCATAACTCTGACCTTTCTGACCCTCCATTTACCTAGCTCTCCCATGGTTGTGAAGATTGTTAACAGTGTTTGTAAGATATTTTCAGAAATTAGAAAATAGAAAATAAAAAACATTTGCCATTAGAATTATCCACAGTTTAATCTGAAATTTAGTGCCCCTTCTGCCTTCAGACCTATTGTAGGACATGCTGTCCTTTGCCGTTCCACTTGTAGCCAAATTCAGAGTTTTCCTAACAGGGACAGCTCTCTGTGCCTGATACTGTATGGGAATCTTAGCTTGAGCTCCACTCTTACCACTCTCAGTCATTTTTTGGTATTTTCTATAATAATCATACCGCCAACCTCTAGCTGATACCTGGCACAGTATAGGAATCCAATAAAAGTTTCACTGTAAGTGGGAGTGTAGGTCGTTACAATGGTTTTGGAGGGTAATTAGACAGTACTTTTCAAAATTTTAAGTTTGCATGTCCTTCTTTCCAGAAGTTCTACTTCTCGGAATTTAGCAGTAGCTGCGTTCATGCATGAGGATGTTCACATTGCAGTCTGTCTGTAATAGAGGACAAAAGAACTGAAAACAATCAAAAGTCTGTCAATGTTGTACTCATTATATAAAGTATGGTAATTATACTCAATTAAATACTATGCAAGCATTAAAAAGAATAGAATGGATGTATGAATAAATGGACTGGGAAGTTCAGTCTGAAATAGATTGTAGACTATGTAGAGTACGCTGCTTTTACATGAAATAGAGGATATGCCTATATATATAAGGAAATATTTGTATATAATACACAATGAGTGAATGTAAGCACTTGGAAAATATCTGGAGAACCCCACAAAAAAACTGGGGGGTGGAGGGTGAGACTTCACTTTTCATTCCGTGTCCTATACTGTTTGAAATCTCAAGGCTGTGACAAACGCACTCATGTGCATGAGCTGTACTACCGGCCTCAGGCGAAGGAGGGCGCTGTAGGCACCAGAGGGTCTGTTCGCTAATCGGGCTTCTCTGGCAGCCGGCGTGGCCACGTCATCAGGACACGCGGTGGCGCATGCGCAGTAGTAAGGATTTAGGTGCTGCCTGGTTTTCTGCCCAGGCGCCCGCGGTTGGCTAGCGTGTTCTGGCACTGAGGGCGTGGAACTGGGGAGTCTGTCACTCTTGGCGGGTAGTCGGCATCTTGGGACCCACATGAGCCAATGACATCATGTCTGCCGTGACCGGGTCCAGGGACCCGTGTTTGCCGGACATTGTTCAGCCAAGAGGGAGGGCGGAAACCACGTCCCCAAAAGGTAATACACCTTGGTCCCTGAGCGTGGTCCTGCCGCCTGTTAGCTCCTGGGACTGGACCTCGTCCACTGTGGCTGCTCCGGCCACAGCAGCTGGAACGGAGAGTCCGAGATATCTGATTTCTCCCCCATCCTTTTGAAAGGGAGGCTCTGACCATTGCTGCTCGGGTAAAATGCGGAGGGACTGCTCTTTAGGATGGTCTGTCAGTGCTGGGGACACTAAACTATGAAAACTGAGTCCCGCTCAATTCCTCAAAGTATGTTGTTTTGGCGCAGAAAATGTGAGTGATGTGAACAAGGTTTGAGTGAAAAAGCCTTCCAGAACCGCTCAACTGTCTACGGAAAATGTTGGATTGTATCGTTTCCGGGAATCACAAAGGGCACCTGTTGCTTGCTTCCTACTGCGTCTCATCTGAGAGCTCTGCCTCTGCACGTTCAAGTGATTAATTTTGACACCTTGCTCTTATGTGCAGTGACCTCGTTTTTATTCCTTGAGACCCTCCTTTCCTCTATCTCATGCCTCATGAAGTCCCCGTCATTTGACCTCCTGAATATCTTGGAATCCATCACTTAATTTCCCTCAGCATCCTCATACAGAAGGTGCCTGATCTTTTGCATGTGGGTCCTGACTAGTGTGCATGTATCCACTCTCGTTTCCTTCCAATCCATTCTTCACACAGGAAATCTTTTTAATATGCAAGTTGGAACATTGCTCGGAAACATCACTCAAAAACGTTGTAAGAATAAAAGCGAACTCTTGACCCTGGCCTTGAAGAGTCTGCCTGGTCTAGAATCCTCTCTGCTTCTTCGGCCCGGTCTTGTGCCCCTTTTGCCCTCACTGTCTGTGCTTCAGATTCACTGAGTTAACCTCGGTGAGTTCTCCCTCATCCTACAGAGGTCAGTTCAAAGATTACTTTTCAGTGTGACTCCTAGCATTAAGTGAAGTTCACAGCCCCTTTTCCATCCGATTTTCTTTTAAAATACGAACTTGAAGGTCCACACAGATTGTATTTGATGGCATCAGTTGTATGAGGACTAAAATAAACCGTAAAGTGAAAGAACTGAATTTAAACAATTTCAGTCAACGTATGAGTATTGACGAACCTTAGCATTCAGGACTGGGCTGACTTATCAGGGATACAGAAGGGCTGGCCATCTGTGGTCTTAGGCCTTGTTTGTGGAGACCTTTGCTCTGTTTTGTTATCTTCTATCTAGTTTCAAGATGGGGAACAGGAAGAAAGGGAATATAGGTGGTCACTAGGTGGGGCTGAAGAAGGGGAGCAGGAGGATGCAGAGCAGAGAGCAGAGGGGACCTACTGTGTGGGCTGTGAATTCCATTTTCAAGGAGCCCCGTTGTACGCAGGGAGACAGGCTAACGTCAAATTTGGCTCACAAAAAATGTATTAGCAGGTGGAAAGACTGTAATCCCAGTTGGACGTTGGATGACTGGGACTCGTTTCATTCCTTTCAAAGTTCCTTTCAAAAAAGTAAGATAGCGTTCAGTATTCTTTCAGAAATCTGAATTCACCATGTAGAACTCTGGTCTTGAACCCTGTCTCACTCCATTTCCCCTTTTTATAGTAAATACTTTGTGATAGCCCCTTTACTCTCCTGAACTGAAATTCATAGATGTATACAACCGACTTCCTACTTAAATTTAAGAAAAAGAAAAAATCAGTGTAATGCTCTAACTATAAAATAAAGGATAAATAAAGTAATTTAGAATAGAGTAATATGTGTTTACATTTCCATGTGTCAATGTTTGGGCATGGCTTTACTAAAAATAAAGAAATTGTCAGTTACTTGCACCATGAACACAAAAGCTTCTCATGCTCACTGATCTGGGTGGGTATGTTGCCTTGGTGGCAGGAGTTTCAGTGATTGTGAGCTACGCTTCGTAGATTTCCAAAGAAAACAAAGTACAGTGTTCTCTTGGATGATAAGGTGACTGCTATCCTAGAAAATTCGCTGTATGTGTAAACTGCAAAGAAACCCTTTGTGTTTATGTGTGAAATGGAGTTAGGTTCTAAGGCTTAGATAATTATGAACAGTTTTTCACCTCTATGGATGTTGAACAGGACTTTGGAAAGTCATCCAGGTGTGAGACCCACTTGTGGAAGTGTTCTGAATTTGGCAAGATGTCTTATACCCATGACCCTCACCCACTAAATGCCAATAAGACCCCTTCATGCCCCTCGTTATAACCACAAAAATGCCCTGGATCAGCAAGGTCAGGATTTCAGTATGGAAACTCTGAAAAATTGTGTTTCTGTTTGAACTATGAAAGGAATAGGTGGGGAAAGCTTTTGACTGACATGAAAAAGGTGAGGAGAGATTCCATGTCTCATTACCCTGCCTGGCACAGCGTGGATTAGTGTCAGGGAGAGCCCACTTTGACTGTATTGGGAATTTATTTAATTTGTGTCTCATAGGTCAGGGTTTCTTTCTTCTTCACCTACTCTGTCAATTCTGCTGCATCTCTGCACTTAAACATTAGTGATTTCATAAAGATAAGCAAATGGTTCTGATTTACATCTGGCAACACCAGGCTTATTGTTTGACACATCGTAACTACTTCCCAGTCTTTGTTGAATGAATGAACTGATGGCCCACCCCCACCCGCATGGGTGGTGCCTGTGAATTTCCTCCTATATTCCTCCTCCTCTATGCAATTGTCCTCACTCCTCGGTCCCTGCTCCACGGCCGCTGCAAGGGGATCCTGAGGTTCCCCCGGGTCCCTGCTCAGCCCCTTTTCTTCAAGGACATCAGCATAGAGAAGCAGGAAGACTCTTCAGTCTCCTTTCCTCTGCACAGCCAACGTCTTTCCTGTGTGACGTGGTTATAGGAAGCCTCCTCTAGTTCTGTGTGCACAAGGTGTTCTCTTCAGTGTTGGGACTGTTTAAGGCACCATCAAGGGGATTGCGAAGCTGCAGGGCCACTCCCAGTGCAGTCCCTGTTCACGCAGTAGAGGTAGGGAGATGAATGACCCCTGTGTGACAGTGGAATGGGACAAGGTGTCCTGGGTGTTTGAGGGAAGTCACCCAAGGCAAAGCTGCCTCAGTACTTGGTAGTCGAGTGTCAGGCACACTGGACTGTCAAGTGGCAAATGATGTGTCACAGAAATGCCACAGCAGAAATGCCTAGGAATGGAAAGGAGGGGGAAATGACAACAGACAGGGTTAATCAAGGACGGCTTCCTAAGGGGTCTGTGAGTAAATGAGTTATCTTAGGTTGGCTGTTGTTCAGATAGCTGGAGATGGTAATGATCCTCCAGCTCCAAGTCTGGAAGAAACTGACAGGAGAGATTGTACGCCTTGTTGTAATTGATACGGTCTTCAAACCTTTCACAATGTTCTGTGGAAGACTCAGCATCATAGCTCTGTCAGATCTCCCTAAGTTAATTTGTAAATTTAACGTCATCTCAAATCATCTGATTCTAAAGCTCATATAGAAAAAGAAACTTACATCGCCAGGAAAATTCTGAAAAAGAATAACTGTGGAAGGGGGTCATGTAGCCCTAGGAGAAATTAAGCCACATTAAAAGTGTTGCTGGAGCACAAGTGATTTTTAGGGCAGTGAAGCTAATCTGTCTGATACTATAAGGGTAAATACATGTCATCGTACATTGGCCAAAACCCATAGAATGTACAACACAGAGTGACCTGTGATCTGAGCTATGGACTTTGATTGATAATGATGTGTTGATGTTGGTTCATTGATCCTAACAAATGGAGCATACTGTTATGGAACGTTGATGGTGGAGAAGGCTGTTTGGGGTGAAGGAGAAGGCTAAAGTGGGAACTCTCTACTTTCTGCTCTGTTTTGCTATGAAGCTAAAACTGCTCTAAAAACTAGTGTATTAGCTTTTTAATTTTTAATTTTTGTGTAAGGAAGATTGGCCCTGAACTAACATCTGTTGCCTATCTTCCTCTTTTGGCTTGAAGAAGATTGTCACTGAGCTAACATCTGTGCCAGTCTTCCTCTGTTTTATGTGGGATGCTGCCACAGCATGGCTTGATGAGCGGTGCTAGATCTGTACCCTGGATCTCAACCTGCAAAGTCTGGGCCACCAAAGTGGAGCACATGTACTTAACCATTACACCACCGGGCTGGCCCCCTCTATTGGTTTTTTACAGGATGTATTGCTGGCACTTGGATAACCAAACAGATCAATGGAACAGAGTATGTAAATAAAATAAATACATAAAAGAATATTCAGCAATAAGAGCCATCCTTCATTTATTTAGATACTCTAGGAGTATTTATAAGTGCCTTTTTATAGGCACTCCATTTCGAGCTGGAGGTTCAGTGGTGGATAGCATTGATGTGGTCCCTGTCTTCCAGGAGTTTACAGTCTGGTTAGGAGACCCACATGAAACAAATAGACACAGAAATAAATCTGTAGAAGTGAGCTTATTTTCTTCCCTCTAATCTGTGGAAGAAAAGATTGTAATATAGCTTGTGACTTCCAGAAGAGCGGAAACTTTCCTCTGAATCACACTGTATGTGAGAATCACAGGGCTTGAATGAGTGGACAATATAAGAGGATTTTAAGCACACGTTCGCTCTTTCTTATTTCATTCTCTCTGACAGAGTTTGGAAAAGAATCTTGCTCCAGGAGAATTTTTTCCCTTTGGATCTTTTTAGCAAAATCCGAGAGCAGAATGAAGAACTTGGACTGACTATTGATTTAACACACACTTACCGCTAATACAAGCCAGAGGTAAATAAACCCTTAGTGAAAAGACCCTTCGTCTTTCTGGTAGTATGATAATCACAGTAATTCAGTAGTTATAATCCTGGCCTTCTTTATGGGTAGTGGTTCAAAAAGGGAGCCAAGTGGTTTCCTCAATTACACTTTTCTAATTGCTGTCTCAAAAAGAGATTAAAGACATGAATTGAAATATAATATGGGGCAGTAGGCTCTGTACGTGCTTAAGAAATACTATAAACTTCCATGTTCTCTCTCTCTCTTTTTTTTTTGGCTAGGAAGAGTCACCCAGAGATAATGTTTGTTGCTGACCTTCCTCTTTTTTTGCTTGAGGAAGATGAGTCCTGAGCTAACATCTGTGCCAGTCTTCCTCTATTTTTTTGTGTGTCAGCACCACAGCATGGCTGACGAGTGGTATAGGTCCACACTGAGGATCCAGACCCACAAACTGAGGCCATCGAAGCAGAGTGCACCAAGCTTAACCACTACACCATGGGGCCGGCCCCCGTGTTCTATATTTTGAAAGTAAAGTAAACTTTTAGTAAGAAAAGTAGTAGCCTAAAAGAAAAGAAAGGGATATCCATGATGTCTTTAGGACTTATTTTGAGCAGTTGTCAGAGCACGTGTAAGTATCTCGGTAGAAGACAGTTCTCTAAGTTTTATGCTTTCCTTTCCTAATATCTTTGGACACAATAGAGAAACCCATATGTTCGGTTGGCCTGTGTGGCATTATCAGTGGGAAAGAATTATCCTTCTTCTGAGCAGTTCCACAGCCTTGGGAAACAATAACACCTAATGTCTCTTAACATTTGTACAGGCCTACCTCGCAGATATCTCGGGTTCTCTTCCAGGTCAGTGAATAAAGTGAACATTGCAATATAAAGTGAATCACACTAGTGATTTGGTTTCCCAGTGCATGTAGAAGTTATGTTTACACGATACCGTAGTCTGATAAGTTTGCAATAGCATTATGTCTAAAACAACAATGTACATACATTAATTAAATAGTACTTTATTGCTAAAATATATGAACCATCATCTGAGCCTTCAGCAAGTTGTAATCGTGTTGCTGATGGAGGGTCTTGTAAGAAATGCAGCGTCTGTGAAGCACGGTAGAGCGAAGCACAGTACAGTGAGGTAGGCCTGTACAGCAGCTGCCATTTAAAAAGTGCGTGCACACACGTTAAGTCAGTGAATCCGCACAGCAGGCCTTTGCTGATGAAGTGGGAGTGGTACTAACGTCCCCTCCTGAGTGCTTCCTCTGCACTGAGCCCAGAGCATAGACGGTGACAGTGACTCACTTCACAGATGATCAGACTGAGGCCCAGAAAAGGAAGAACGGAAACTTCCTCTTGTCTTTTTACTGTGGTAAAATATACATAAATAGTATTTATCATTTTAACCATTCATATGTGTACAATTCAGTGGCATTAAGTGCATTCATGATGTTGTACAGCTGTCACCACTGCCCGTAACCAAAAGTTTTCCATCATCCTCAACAAAACCGTTAAAAAATAACAACCCGATTTCCCCTCCCCCCAACCCCTAGTGACCTGTATTCTACTTCCTGTCTGCATGAATTTTCCTATTCTAGGTACCTCATGTTAGCGGAATCAAACAATATTTTTCCTTCTGTATCTGGCTTATTTCACTAAATGTAATGTTTTCAAGGTTCATCCATGTTATAGCATGTAACAAAATGTCATTTGTTTTTATGGCCAAATAACATTTTACTGTGTGTATATACCACATTGTGTTTATCCATTCACTTGTTGATGGGCACTTGGCTTGTTTCCACCTTGTGGCTTTTGTGAATCTTGCAGCTATGAACATTGTGTACAAATATGTGTTCAAATTCCTGCTTCCCATTCTGTTAGATGTATAGGTAGGAGTAGAGATGTTGGGTCATATAGGAGTTATATGTTTAACCTTTGAGAAAGTGCCAAAAAGTTTTCCACAGTGTCGTCCTGTTTTTAAAGAGTTACCAAAAATTTTAAAGTTATGCAGGAACAGAAGTAATGCTGTGGTGTTCGTGGACCACCAATGAACTCGTCCATCTTTACTATTTATCAGCTGATGGCTGTCGAGTTTCATCTCTACCCCCACCTGTTTCACCCTATTCCATAGTTTTTTGAAACAGATCCTCAATATTATATAATTTCACTTGTCCATTTTTGGTATGTATGTTTAAAACATAGGACTTTTGTTCCTTAATATCCTTCTTTATTATTAAATATCCAGTCAGTGCTGAAATTCGCCAGTGTCTCGTAAATGTCCTTGAAATTGTTTTTTAAGGGTTTGATTTATGTCTAAGTTAGGTCCACACTTTGCGTTTCATTGTTAGGTCTCTGACATCTGATTTAATTGGTGGGTTCTCCCTCCATTGTCTCTCTCACTTTCTTTTTATTCTCCTTTCGAATTTCAGTTTTAGAAAACCAGGATGTTTGTCCCATCTGAAGATGACATTACAAATAATACAAGAGTGAATGAGCACAATGAATAATGGCTAAGAGAAATAAGAAAAGGAGGAAATTTTAAAATATCTAAAGAAATCATAAGAGGAGGAAAAGAATTCTAGAGAAATGCCAAATATTAGAGACCAGCAAAAAAGGGCAGTTCTGAAAAGAGTAATTCAAACATATGTAAGAATTTTGTGTACCATAAGAGTGACACTTCAAATCAGTGGGACACATTAGTGAGTAAATTGTGATACATCCGTGTTGGAGTGTAAATCATTTCTCTGGAAGGATCCACAGTGTGGCAAAAGTAAGTATGTCTAAGGGGTGATGGAACTAGGTGCCCGGGGAACTTGGGGAGAAGGGTGAATTTCCATTGAATCCCCTTTTGTACCTTTCTAACGTTCTCTCCTGTGAATCTATTACCTCTGAGGTCTGCCTGCCTGAGTTGAAACCCCAGCTCCCCCAGTTGCTGACTCTTCACCTTGGACCAATTCTTGACACTCTCCAAGCCTATGTTCTTCTCTGTGAAATGGGGTGAGCAACTTAGGGGTGCTTCCTGACACAATATAAACTCTCAATAAATGTAAATTACTAGTGGAAATAACGCAAATGTCCATGAACTGAGGAAAGCATAAACAAGTGTGGTGGATCCATACAATAGAATATTTTACAGTCATAAAAAGGCATGAAAGACTGACACACACTACAATGTGGATGAACTTTGAAAACATTCTGCTAAGTGAAAGAAGCCAGACACAAAGGTCACATATTGTGGTGTATTTCAGATGTGTGAAGTGTCCAGAAAAGACAAGTCCACAGAGACAGAAAGGAGATGAGTGGTTGCCTGGGGCTGGAGAGAGGAGGGAATGAGGAGCAGCCTCTAATGGTTAGGGGGGTTTCTTTTAGGGGTGATGAAAATGTGTTGGGTTAGATAATGCTGGTGTTTGCCCATGCTTGTGAATGTACTCAATGCGACTGAATTTACACCTTCAAAAGGTGGGTTTCTATGGTATGTGAATTATATCTCAATAAAAATAATTTTAGAAATGTAAATTACCAATTTTCCCATGATAATTATCTGCTGTCCCCATATCTCCCCCCCTCTGACTGCATTCCCTTTTATGCCCCCCCCCCCCCCCCACTCTCCCCATCCAGGTACCCCACAAGCCTCCCAAGCAGCAACTCTGGACCCTTGGGCAGATACTTCCTGCCCTGGTGGAGCAGTGACCCAGTGTGCACGTGCTCTAGCTGCTCTCCCACCATGTGATGGATGCTTCCAGCAGATTTTTCTCATGTGCTTTGGATGATGGCAATGTTTAGAGAGGGTGAAAACAGGCCAGGTGGATTGAGGAGGCCGTGGCAGGCCCCTCAAGTCAATGTTTATGAAGAGACGTTTTTCCAAAGAAAATATACAGGTGGCCAACAGGCTCATGAAAAGATGTTCAACATGACTAATTTTTAGGGAACTGCAAATCAAAAATGAGCTGTCACCTCCTGCCTGTCAGAATGGCTATTATTAAAAAAACAATAAATAACAAGTGTTGGAAGGGTGTGGAGAAAAGAGAAATCTCCCATAGTGCTGGTCAGAATGTAAATTGGCATACCCACTATGGAAAGCAGTATGGAGATGCCTCAAAAAATTAACAATAAGACTACCATATGATCCAGCTATTCTACTTCTGGGTGTTTATCCAAAGAACGCAGAAACACTAATGGGAAAAGTTATATGTGCCCCTGTGTTCAATGCATCATTATTAACAATAGCCAAGACTTGGAAACAGCCTAAGTGCCCACTGAGAGATGAATGGATAAAGAAAATGTGGTATATATATATATATATATATATATATATATATATATGTACACAATGGAATCCTACTCAGCCATAAAAAAGATGAAATCTTGCCATTTGTGACAACATGAATGAACCCTGAGGGTGTTATGCTAAGTGAAATGAGTCAGATGGAGAAAGACATATACCCTATGCTTCACTCATATGTGGAAGATAAACAAACACATAGACACCGGAAGGGAAAGGGTGGGAGGAGGAGGAAAGGGGTAAGGGGCAGATGTGTAAGATGACATATGGCAAAGACTTTGGTGGAGAACACGACATAGTCTGTACAGAAGGGGAAATAGAATGTACATCTGAAAAAAAATCTAGGCTGCTCCAGAAGTTTGTTCTTGTCCACCAGTAATGTCCAGAAGCTGTGCTCTGAAAGCCAGCCTGGTCGCCAGCAGGCGTTAGCAAATACTGAGCACTGCTGGCATGCAGGTCTCAAGTTGAGGCCTTGCTCCTCCGCAGGCAGTGTGACTGCAGCCCACTGCGGAACATCAGTAGTAAAGCAGCTCAGTGACCCTGGCCTTGCGTGTGGTTGCAAAGGTTAACTGAAGTAGAGGGTTCGTGGGCCTGGTGCACAGGAGTTGAGGAAATGGTGATTTCTCTGCCTGCCCTGTCCTGGGAAGGCCTCCTGCTGCAGCAGCTCCCATGGGGAGGCCCCTGTTATCAGCTGCCCCCAAGGTAACTCAGCCCTGGCCATTCATCTCGCAGATTCCCCTTTGATTTTTGCTCACTGTCCTCAGCCATAGTCATTCATGGATGAGGCAACACAAACATTTTGGAAGGTGTCCTGAATCTCTTGTTTCCCAAAGCACTGGTGTGGTGGTCGTGAGCCATAAGACCAGCCTCCCTGAGAGACGGTTTACATTTGTCCTGGTCAACCTAGACTCGTCGGCTGCCGTCTTCAACTCTATTCCAATTTTACTCTTTTAACGCTCCCCTCAGGCCCTGCTTCTGACTTCTGCCATTTCCCACCACTCCTGCTGCTTTTTATAAACCCCTCAAATCTCTCCCCTTTTAGCCTCCCCAGTCCTGGACCCAGTTCCTGCCTCTTTCCTCATTTTGTATCCCTTTTTCCTCATTTTCCCATCCAGCTCCACTGCTTTTTTCTCATGAAGCCTTTGATCCCCACCCCGGCTAGAGAAAAACCACAGTTAACCGCATCTGCAACCACAAACGCCTTCTTTATTACTCATCTATTAACTAGAACTGCTATTTATTGTTTTAGTAAATTTTTTAAATATCAAAATAAATAAGGGAAATCTATCTATTGAAAAACAATTGGTCCCCAGAGTGGCTCCAACAATCCTAGCAGCCTTATATCGCGTAGCCATAGTATCGAGAAATTTCCATTTCTTTTTCCCTCTCAGTGAAAAACTGCACTTTCCCCCCAGAGGTGTACTTGGCAGCCTTCTCACGTTCCTGTTGAGCCTGCCTCTTCATGGCCTCCCGCTCTGGCCTCTGTTCCTGTGTGATGGGCTCTGACATCACTGGCCCTGGAATGTCGGTTTCCTCCATGGAATTGGTTGCTTGCTAAAATCCTCCAGTAGATACTGGGTGGGAGGCTTGGGTGGGGCTTGGAGCTTGGTCACAGCAGTGGGAATGGGCTCCTGCTGGAGAGAAGTGCAAGATGCTGTTCTGTAAGGTGCAGGCCTCGAAGCAGGACACTGAGGGACGCTAGGCCGGGTGGGGTTAGTCCAACCTGGTTGAGTGGGGTTGGTGAAAAGTGGCCGAGCTGGTCTGGCAGGACCTGTCAAAGATGCAGGAGCTGGCCGGGCAGAATTGACTGCATTTGATTGAGCTGAGGTGGTAGAACCAGGCCAGGCAGGGTCAGCCACAGCAGGCCGATGTGAGGCCAGAGCCTGTGGCCTCCGAGGAACAGGTCGAGCTGGAGGCTTGTCCACGGTCAGAAAAGGCAATGGTACCAACCTGACATTCCTGGGAGGTGGCAGCTCATCCCGAGATGGAGGTGGACACTCTTTTTCAGCACTGTCCTCTGCTTTCTGGGCTTTGACTTGAGTTTCCTTAGGACCTTGACCTTCGAGTGGGGTATCCAGCCATGGTTTGATAGCTGGGCAGGGCTGGGGGTGTTTGGGGTTGCTGGAGGTTCCCAGGGCCCGGGAGGAAGAGGGCCCGGTGTTCTTCTCACTCTTCCTCCCCAGAGCATGAAACACCTGCACCGACTTCAGCATGTGCTGGCCAAGGCTGGTTCGAGGCCGCTTAAAGGTTTCTTGGCTCAGCTCGGGTTGATTCTTCCTCCGCTTCATCTTGGGCATCATTGGCTTCTCTTCCACCCTGACTTCAGTCCCTGACTGCCGACTCTCTCCGGCTTTCTTGGAGTTGTTTCCTCTGGTGCTCTTGGTCCTTTCCTGCCCATGGCTCTTAGATGTACTGATCCTGCTGGGTGCGGCTTTCTGAGGTTTGCTGTTGGAGTGCTCGGCCTCGTTCTCAGGAGCCCTGTCACTGGCTGCAGCATTGCAAATAAGCCCTTCTCGCCCTGACAGGCACTCCGGGTCCTTTGGCTGGATTTTGGCCTTGGGAGCACCATCGAGAGGCTCAGAGGCCTGATGTTTGTTCTTCCTGGTGTACTCGGAGGCAGCCTTTCTGCCACTTATCTTTTGCTGCAGCTGGATGGACTCGATGGCTCCTGTGTCTTTGGCTTGGATCAGCTCGGGGCCTTGGGGTTGATCAAGGTCTTTCAAGGGGTCGAATAGTTGGGGAAGGTGACCATCCTCCATCAGTGTAGCGATGTCTGCAAAGCCACCGCTAGCCTCGGTCCCGTTTTCCAGTGTCCCTTGGCCCTCAAGACTCAGGCTACTCTTTCCCAGATCAGCGTTTTCAGAACCAGGGTGGTCCTCTGGCCCGAGGGGATCGATGCAGGCCAGGAGCTGGAGAATATCAGGAATTTCTAAAGGCTGTAGTAGAGGCTCTTGGTTTTCTATTGGGATCTGGTCGGGATCCAGAGGCTTTGAAAGGTTGGTGTTAAACTCATCCCAATTCTTTGGAGCTGGAGACAGTGCCAGGAAGTTACTGTTCGAAGTCTGGAGTGAAGCTGTCAGTGAAATGTCTGCAGGCTCAGGTGGTGGGCTACTCTGCAGCATCTGGGTATTTCTGCTACTGCAGGATTTGGGGAATTCTGGAGTTTGCTGTAGACAAAATGTCTGGCTTGGAGGTTGCAGTCCCAGGAAAGTCTCTCTCCCCAGGGAGGTTTCCACCACTACAAAGGAAGCAAGGAAGAAGTGAGTCCTTGGTGGGTGAGATGTTCCCCCCTAGACACCAGTGCAGCAACCACGTCCCTTCCCCCGATGGGCAAGGCGTTTCTCCTGGCTCTTAAGGATCATGGACAGCGCCCTGTGCTAGGAGATAAGAGAAGACTGTTCTGGTTCTTACTGGTGAGCATTGGATGTCGTTATTCCTTGTTTTTTTATTTCATGGGATTGTTAGAAGAGAACTAAAAAGTAAAAGAGATTTTTGAACTATGAAACATTTCAGAAATCCTAGCACTCTCCTGTAGAGTCCTTTGAATTCTGTACACTTTTCTCAGAGAATAAGAACACTTCACACCGTGGACCAGGAGAGGGAGTGGATCTCCTCTTGATGAAATTTATAAACAGTGACAGATTCTTAACCCTCTGAATTTGGACAGGATCTGGGGACACAAGCTCTTATTCCTGCTATCAACAAACAAGTGTGGGAAAGTTAACCCTGGCTCTATCACAATGAGAGTTCTGACATGCCTTTCCAGGAGACTAAACCATAGATTGGGAAAGGGAGTCCATTTGTGTGTGGTAGTGCAGGGGCCTGAGCACGTGGGGCAGAGAGACATGTGGTGTCCCTTGGTGTGCTTTTGGGGTTCTCACCCATGTAGGGTCTAAAATGGAGAGCACTGAGCAAGGGTAGTGTTTACTAAAGTCTCAGGACTTCAATTCTACCTGTCTGTGGCCTCACCACTTCCCAGCTGCAGATTTGACCCTAATTTTGGATGCAGACCTCATTCCCCTGCCTTCTTGCTGTTTGTACTCACCTTGAAATCTGGTTTGTGTGATGGATTGAGCAGATACAGTGTAGTAGATCCCAGAAGAGGAGGCTGGTGGCAGGACATTTGTGGGCTGAATCTCCTTTAGCACCAACACCATTTCTGGTTGAGGAGCAGAGGCCTGAGCTCCTGTGTAGGACACAGAGCCGCAGGACTGCAGACAGGGGCCAAGTTCTCCAGACAGCAGAGGCCCCAGTGTGCCGTGATCATAGTAATACACCTGGCTTCCTTCCTGGTAGGGAAGTGACAGGCTGTGTCCCTGATTTGGAACCTGAGATGGTGTTCCCTGAACAAGGCTGGTGGAAAGTGATGGATACAGTGGGACCAGGTTATTGGCACCTGAGGTTCTGTCATACTGGGCTAACATAGACATGGAAGAAACCGCTGAGTCCTGGCCAATGACAGTCAGAGTGCAGTCTCCGAGTGAAGAGGACTCCTGTGCAGTGCTTCCTGGGACACCCCACTCAAAGAGACCTGATAAGAAGCAGCTGAGGTGGAGCTCTGGCTCTGGCCAGTCACTCCAGACAGTGTGGTTGTGCTAGAATGTTGGTAAAGGTAGGCACTCCCCATGAGTGGCTGGGAAGAGGTGCCCGAGGCTGATGGCAGAAGCCATGCTGAACTGACGGCTGGAGCAGAGACTCTGGAGAAATTGCAGACACTTCCTGTTAGGGAAGCTGCATCGCTCACCACAGGAAGCGAGAGCTGCAGGGAGTTTGGAGTTCCAAGTAAGGATGGATTTTGGAAATTTTCTGTAGGGAACAAGAGGTTGATGAAAACTCAGTGAGATGATCAACTCTGACAATGTTTGAGGAGCAGCATCATCTCAAGGTTGCTGCATGAGGAAGCTTCTCATCCCCTGCTCACTGAGACAGCAAACATCCACCCCTTTATGGTGGTTGTAAGGGCGGGAGCAGTTTGTTCTTTTCTGTGTAACTGCCTGTGCTCCCAGCTGCGGCAGAGATGTGCAGAAGCCCCATGTGGTGTGGGTCACACCTTGTTCTCTAGGCTGGAAGCCGCCTTCTCCCTGCCCATCCTTCCCTTGAGCCTCCCCTAGTCCTGACTCGTCTACTCTTTGCTAGAATAGAAGCATTTTAGAAGTAGAACGTCCTCAGAGATGCTCTGTTCTGACATTCTCCTGGTACGAGTGAGGAAACTGAGGCTCAGAGAGGTCAGCTGGAGTGGTCCGATTCTCCCATTATGGCAGCATCATCACCAGGTCACAGAGCCTAAGTCTCCTGACTTCTTGCCAGGACTCTGCTCTGACTGTTCCACTACCAGAACCTGGGAGAAGGAGACCTCCTAATAAAGTGTTTTCTTGGTCCCTTAGAAAACAGTGCAGCTGTTACCACTGTCTTCTTCAGGGTCTGTTTGCTCGTGCAGTTCACGTGCTGTTCCCTAGAGTTCACCCAGTAGTCAGTCCGGGTGGTAGGTGTAAAGGGTCACTCTTACCCTCTTCAAGCCTGGTTTCTGATCCTACCTACACATGACTGCCTGAAGGTGTGCATCCCATAAGTGCTTTTTGAAAGAAAACAGTAATTTAATCTCTCTGAGCATCAGATTACTCATCTGTAGTTATAGTAATAATGATTATAATTATAGTAATAATTCATACATGAATAAAAGTTATACGTGGCATATCTGTTATAGGGAGAAAGACAATTTCTGTAAAAAATCATGGAAAACCTTTATCACAGAACTAAAAATAACTATACTGATATATGAAAACTGAGGTATGTAGCAAGCACCAAAGCATAATAAGTTTACTAATAAATGAAATTCTGTGTCATGCATACTGTGTCATGAAAGTGAGTATTGCTGGCTCCATTGTAGTGAATACTATTTACCAAAACCAGCCCAGAGAGGAAGGTGATCTTGAATGAATTCCTAGCCAGTACGTGCAGACAGAGAAGCTATATGAATAAAACTCACCTAAAAGGCATTAAATGCTATAAATGTGAATGTATACGTGGCCACAATAGGAGCAGACCGATATTTCAGTGAAAACTGGTACAAAGCTGAGAGCAACATCCTAAGTGTAAAGGAATTCCGTTATTGTGCTCGTTCTTACTTCTCTGATCATGACCCCGCAAGGAACAGCCAGTAAGGAATTAGTCCTTCTGATTCAAGTTAGGGGATATTATTTTTTTTTAAACTTATATATTATTTTTAACAGGCAAAACATCTACATAGTTGAAAAATGAGAATAAAACACTAGAAATTCTGTTGCCTCCAGCCCTCTGGATAAGCACTTTATCAGTTTCTGGATTATAGGAAGTGTCATTCCTAAAAGATCTCTGAAATGTGTATATTCAAACTCTCAGGTGCCATCCATGTTCAGAGAGGCAAGAGAAAAAAGCAAACAAGTGAGTCTGAGTCTGAGAAGCTGCTTTTCCTGGCGATGCCCTCCTCTGCCTCACTGGCCTTCCTCAGCTAAGAATGTGAGCGTTTGCTCAAGTCAACTGTGCTTCGCCCTGCTCTGAGCACATTTCACTCTCTGCTCTTCCTGCTGCAATTGAAAATCTTTGGTTCCTTCAGCATTTCATGCCAAACCACCTCTTTTTCCTGGAGAGCTCCTCCTTGCTCTCCTCCTCATTCTTCTATTTTCTCAGCCCTCTAGGTTCCTGTTGGCCTGTGCTGATGAAAACAATCCTCAACTTCCTGACCTTCGAAGACTAGTCCCCCTGTAGCCCAGTACTCTCCATCTCCTACCCCATTTTCCTTTTCACCTCATTTAGGTAGAAAACTCCAGAACATGTGAATATTGCTATTTGACGCACCCTAAATTTGAAGTACTAGAGTTGAAATGTCAGTGCAGGGAGACCATTGCAGATGAAACCTCTGGGTATATTTTGCTAGTTTTCTGCATCACCTAGGATTTCTCTCTGTTTCTGTGGAAACACTCTCAAGAAGTCTCTGATTTCATTTCTACCTGGGTGCCTTTTAAGATTCAATATGAGAAAAGAAAAGGAGCAGAAGGAACCACAGTTGTAATATCCTGATGTGAGAGATGAGGAGAAAACAGAGTTTGTGAGAGAGTCAACGACTTGTCCAAAGTCACCCAGCTCATACATGTCAAAGTAAAATGTGAAATTACTCTCCCAGGTTTCTAATTCAATACTTTACCTCATTTTTCCATGCTCTTTTGAATCTCCAACCAAATTTAGGGGCAAAAAAACATTTAAAAGTTTCTTTCCCTACCTGACATGGTGAGAAAAGAAGAGGAAGCATCAAGTGCAGATGCAAGGGATGAGGAGACGTCTCCAGAGGAAGTCTGAGTGGCTGCCGCCAAAGAGTGGTGTGCCCACTACGAAGGTCACTGGTCACACTGGTCACTTGCGGTGATCCAAATTTATTTACAGACAACTCCATGGAAACCCCAAGATTCTAGCAGGTGGCAGTAGGTCTAGGGGGAGAATGATGTCACAGAGCAGGCAGTTCAAAGGTACGAGACAGCCAATAGGGCGGTCAGATTCCGCACAAGAAGATGGGATTGGGTGGAGGGAGTCGGGGGAGAGCTACAGCAGCACCTGCATGGCTGAGCTCTGGGGAGGTGACATCCTAGGAGCCACGTGTGCTAGTCTCTCTTCCCCAGGCTCTTATGTTAGGGAATCATCTCAACGTTCCTTATAGATGTTCATTAATATAGTTAACTCATAATTGTTTTAGTCTATAATTTATACATTTTGAATTATTGTACATTTATAATTTTAGGTACAGTTAATTAATATCCTTAGTGAGGAAGGAAAGGGACATGTAGATTGACTCAATACAGTTGTTTTGAAATCCTATCAGTTGATCTAATTATGAACTTGTTGAACCTTTTAAGGAGCAAAGGAAGGGATTAATGAGTTCTTTCTGTAACTTGGTTAAAGAGTAGGGTGAGGTTTGTTGTGTGCCCCTTGTGGGGTATGATGTGGTTCAAGGCTCTTCTCTTTCAGTTTCTTCTCCTTGAATCCTACCTTCCTTGGACTGGGCTGGGCTGGGCTAGGTTGGACTTGCATCTCTCTGCTGCTCCCCTTTTCTTTTTTCTGCATTATAGGCCTTATTTCTGGGACCAGCCTCCCTCTTGCATCTCCCCCTCCTGGATGTTACTTCCTTTCAACTCCCAGCAGCAGGGCTCTGCTTTCCAGTGCCTGATGCTTCTGAAAATGCCATCTGCCCATTAGAAGTAGATGCCAGAGAGCCAGAGACACAGCTGAGGGCAGAGCTCTTGTCTTCCAGCCTTGGGTTGCAATTCTTTTGCCCATAATTTGCTACCTCTGGCTCCTTGGGCCACACAGGCCTCCTGCCATCCCGCGCTTTTATACATGAGAGGCATTCGGGGTCCTCCCCTTTCCTTCTCCCCTGAGTGTATCCAGTGTGGCAGTTGCTGTAGCCTCCTCCCTCTTGGAAACAGCCGCTGTAGAACGTTGGGCCTCTAGGGTTCTCTGTCGGCCATGGTTGTGTGCAAGGCCAAGCGACATGCAGAGGAGAATAGTGAGAGAAAGAGGAGGACATTCATGGAGAATAGGGAAGAGGCAAGGTGAAAGGAACAGAAAAAGAGAGTTGCCTGTGGATTTTTGGGTTTCTTGAGAAACAGGTTGATACATTTTGGCCTCACTTTGTATTAAAGGAACTGACAATTCAGTATATATTTTTTAATGTCACTGGATGGTCCAGCAACAGTCACAAATTCTGTACATTTAAGAGAATAACCTTAAATTACTTTGTCTCATTTTGTTTTATGTGATAGTACACAATTTATGTTATTCATTGGTATGTTTGTAGAATATGGGTTTCTTTCGAATGCTCTGCATTTGTCTCCTTGTTTTTCCTGGTTGTGTTTTTAAGGATCCAACACTGGAAGACAGATCACATGCTGTTCTCCTGCTGATTGTTCATTTTGAAGCGTCATGAACTAACTTGACCTGAAGGGTTCTGTGGAGGAAACTTACGAGGGGACTGTGAGAAGCATTGTGGTGAGTTGCACGGTGCCCTCACGCCTAAGGAGCAGATGTCTGCAGTGCACCCGGCTGGCCTGGGAGCCTCTGCTTTTGTGCCCCTGCTTAGTGCTCTTCTCTCTAACCACTCTGGTGACTGGGAGACAGTGGGCGAGGGCTGAGTTGCTGCTGATTTGTATGTGGAGTCAGCTGGTTTGGGGAGGAAATCTTTGCATGTAGTCATTTTCCTTGGTGGCAGACTTTTCGGATGCCTAGGTGTGTGATCCAAGATGCCAGAGGCCACAAGAAGATAGGTACTAGATGTGACCTCCAGAGACACACATTTCATTTATAGGCTTATTTTTCCTGTTATGAAATGTGAATGTTTTGAGTGATGGCGGGGGTGTTTACCCGAGGAGAAATTGTGAAGGCTGTTGCAGTGTCGAGATATGGCTTGAGCTCACGTTTGAAATTTTTTGCCCCTCAGCTTCATACCTCAAATAGCCTACTTCCCTGACATGAGGATGTAACAGGAGGCTAACAACATATCCTAGATATCCGCAAGTTAGACCAGTCTCTCTCTTTTTTCTATGTTCCCATGGAAATGAAGGGGATCCAGAGCTACTGCAGGTTAGGGTGGGTGACGTAAGATTGGAAGAATTGTGGTAAGACAAATTCAGGTGGCAGTCAAATGTTTATACAAGAAAATATTCACTTTCAACGTCCAATCTAGTTAGGCAAACCCTTACTTAGGCCTTTCCTGGTTCCCAGCCTCTATAACTACTTTCTCTCCGTAGTTCTGGGCATTTAACCTTAGCTTGCAGCCTCAGCGTCATGTTAGCCTCTAATAGAATCTTAAGTGAAGCTGGCAGAAACTTCCAAGCTTGAGTCCAGTGCTGTGGAACTTAGCATCAAGCCCTACACTCACAGAAAGCCTTTTTTTAATAGTTAGGGCACTGTCTTGTCCCATAGAGCCACTTCCTGCATTTCGTACCCATGGGGATAACTGAGACTTGTCTTCACGCAACATGCCCTGTCCTTCTATCCCTGAGGCTCTTCCTTACTCTCCCCATCGTCACGTTTTCATTTAATTAAGGCCTAGAGTCCCTCACACTCCTGCGTGTTCCCTGGGGCCCTACAAGACACTGGCAGATTTTGTTAGTGTCAACTGCTTAGCTGTTTGGTGATCCAAATATGCCTTGCTCCTGTATTTTCCATTCCAGTGTCCTGCATACCTATTCTGGCGTTTTTTAACCTCAGGTTGGATTCACACCCTGGAAGGCCTACACTTTGCTGGTTCCCATAGTTTCTAAAAAGCGTTTAATGCTTAAGTCTGTATTTTCTTGTGTCAACTGAGTGTGTTCCCACCCCAAGCTTGTGTCATTTAGCAAATGGGAAGTGCAAGACCCATATAGCCTTTCTAGATTCTGATCGATGTATGTCACATTTTCTGTAGTCATGTCTATAGACGTTTGTACCGGATGTACTTTTAGGCCACTACACACCTGTTGGATATTACTTTTCATAGACTCCAAAGGAATATTTTATAATGTAGCACCAAACTTGAATGTACTGAGTTGTAAGTTTGCAAACGATGGTGTGCTCACATATGTCGTTCTTTTTCCAGATAGCAATTTACTAATATTGATCCATGTTTAATAATGTAGAAGATTTCCGAATTGTAAGTGCTTGGGCATTCGAACTTGGTTGCACTATGATTGTCCCAGAAATGTTAAACCTAGTGATCTTTTTGCCGTTCGTTCATTCCTTTATTTTAGAACTCTGATCTTTCTGACCCTCTGTTTACCTAGCACTGAAATGGCTGTAAAGATTATTAACAGTGTTTGTAAGATATTTTCAGAAAGTAGAAAATAGTAAATAAACCTTTGCTATTAGAATTATCTACGGTTTAATCTGAAATTTAGTGCCCCTTCTGCCTTCAGACCTGTTGTAGGACGTGGTGTTCTTTGCTGTTCCCCTTGTAGCCAGATTAAGGGTTTTTCTAACAGGTACTGCTCCCTGTGCCTGATACTGTGTGGAAATTGTAGCCTTGAGATCCACTCTTATCACTCTCAGTTATTTTTTGGTATTTCCTACAATATACATACCATCACCCTCTAGCTGATACCTGGCACAGGATAGGAATCCAATAAAGTTGCACTGTAAGTGGGAGGGTAGGTCGTTACAATGGTTTTGGAGGGTAATTAGACAGTACTTTTCAAAATTTTAAGTTTGCATGTCCTCTTTCTAGTAATTCTACTTCTAAGAATTTAAAAGTAGCTGTATTCATGCACGAGGGTGTTCACATTGCAGTCCGTCTGTAACAGAGGACAAAAAACCGGAAACCAACTAAAAGTCCATCAGTATTGGACTCATCATGTGAATTATGGTAAATTATAAGCAATGTAATACTATGCAAGCATTAACAAGAATAGAATGGATGTATGAATAAATGGACTGGGAAGTTCAGTGTCCAGGGTTGACTGTAGAATGTATAGAGTATGCTGCTTTTACACGAAATCGAGTCTATGCATATAGGTACAAAGAAATATTTATATAAAATATACGAGTGAATGTAAGCACTTGGAAAATATCAGGACAACCACACAAGGAACTGGGGAAGTGGGAAAAAAACCTTTCATTCCATGTCCCATATTGCTTGAAATCTCAAGGCCTTGACAAACGTGCCGTGATCTGCATGAGCTGTAGTTCTGTCCTCAAGCGAAGGAGGGCGCTGTGGCCACCAGAGTCCTGTTTACTAACCCAGCTTCTCAGGCCGCCGGCGTGGTGACGTCATCAGGATGGGAAGCAGCGCATGCGCAGTAGTAAGGATGATGGTTGCCTAGATTGCTGCCGAGGTGCTTGCAGTTGGGGGACTTGTTCTGTTCCCGAGCGCCCTGGACAGGGCACTTTCTCGCTGTTGGCATTCGATGGTCAGCATCTTGGGCCCGCATGAGACAGTGGTTTCATACCTGCCACGCCCAGTCCAGGGACCCTACTTGTCCGGGCGTTCTTCAGCCAAGAGGAAGGGTGGAAACCATGTCCCCGAAAGGTAATAAGCCTTGGCTCCTGGGCTCGGTCCTGCCGCCTTTCAGCTCCTGGGCCTGGGCGTCGTCCACTGGGGTCTCTGTCTGTCACTGTTGCCGCTGCAGGGCTCTTGGCCCCTCTGCCCTTGCTCGGAGGCACTGACTGGCTGGCTGCTCGCCAGCAGTAGCCGAAACAAACAAGTCTGAGATGTTCTGATTTCTCCCCATCCTTTTGAAAACAAGGCTGTGGCCATTGCTGCTCTGGTATGAGGCATACGGACTGCTTTTTAGGATGGTCTGTCAATGCTGGGGACAGGACTTAATTATCCCAACTGAGTCCTGCTCGATTCCTCAAATCGTGTTGTTTTGGCGCGGAAAATGTGAGCAATAAGAGCTAAGTTTGAGTGAAAAAGCCCTCCAGTACTGTTCAACTTTCTACGGAAAATGTTGGATTGTGTTGCGTCCAGGAATCACAAAGGGCACCTGGTGCTTCTCACCAGGTCTCATTGGAGAGATCTTCCTCTATAGTTCAAATGATTGACTGTGAAACTTTGCCTTTGAGACCTTCGTTTCCTCCATCTCATGCCTCACGAAGTCCACTTCATCTTATCTCCTGAATATCTTGGAATGTGTCACCTTCTTTCCCTCAGCATCCTCTTACAGAACTTGCCTGATCTTTTGCGTTTAGGTCCTGACTAGTGTGCATGTATCTACTCTCCTTTCCTTCCAAGCCATTCTTCACACAGGAACTCTTTTTAATAGGCGAGTTGGAACATTGATCAGAAGCATGGCTCAAAAGGATTGTTTCAGAATAAAAGCGAACTCTTGACTCTGACCTTGAAGAGTCTCCCTGGTCTAGAATCCTCTCTGCTTCTTCAGCCCCGTCTTGTGCCCCTTTTGCCCTCACTTTCTATCCTTCAGATTCACTGAGTTAGTTTCAGTTAATTCTCCCCGATCCTATAGAAGTTAGCTCAAATACTGCTTTTCACTGTAACTCCTAGCACTGAGTGAAGTTCACAGCCCCTTTTCCATTGGATATTCTTTCAAAATATGAACTTGAAGTTGTGCACTGATTGTGTTTGATGGCATCAGTTGTATGAGAGTTAAAAATAAACCATGAAGTGAAATAATTGAATTTAAACGATTTCAACTCTGGGACAACATAAAGCACACTAACATTTGTAGTATAGATGTCCTAGAAGGAGAAAAGAGAGACAAAGCAGCAGAGAATCTATCTGAAGGAAGAAAAGCTGAAAACTTTCCTAACCTAAGGAAGGATACTGATGGGGCTGAGAGCAGGCCGCTCCAAGGTGTGCCACTCTGGTATGCGGACTATTTCGAGCTGAAGACAATGAAGCCTCAAAAGACCCAGAAAGAGCATCTGACCTTCCCCCAAGCTGCCTAAAGAAATTTAAAATAAAGGTTGTCTCCAGGACAGGCCATCACCGTAGATAACTATCTAGGACACTTGGGGGGATCCTTGCTAAGTCCACTCTTATCAAAGTCCTGCTTATCAAACTTCTGCATTCCATCTCTATGACGATTGTCTTTCTCCCCCTTGAAGCCCCAGATCATTATGTGCTCCTTGCCTGTAGCTGAGGGTACTTAAACGGGTGGACTCAGCCAGATGGCCGAGTTACTCAGTTTACCCTGAGTTTCTCCCATGTATACATGCTATTAAATTTTGTTTGATTTTCTCTTGCTAACCTGCCTCTTTGATTATTTGGCCAGCCATAAGAACCTTGAGGAAAGGCTGTGGGGGGGAATTCTCCCACTTCCCCGACAATACAAACAGCCAGGCACAGAAAGCACAGAGTGCACCAAGCAAAATAAACCCATGAGGCCCAGACCAAGACACGTTATAATTAAAATATCCAAAATTAGAGATAAAAAGAGAATCCTAAAAACTGTGAGAGAAAGGCAGTAAGCACATATAAAGGAAACCCCATAAGGCTATCAGCTGACTTCTCAGCCAAGAGATTAGAGGCTAGCCAGGAGTGGCATGATATTTAAGGTGCTGAAAGGAAAAAATCTATACCCAAGAATACCCGGCAAGGTTATCATTCAGCATGGAAGGAGAGATAGAGTTTGCCAAACAAGCAAAAATTAAAGGAGTTTATCACCAAGAAACCAGTTCTACAAGAAACGCTAAAGGACCTTATTTAAATGAGAAAGAGAAGACCACAATAGGAATAAGAAAATTATCCCCAAAAAAGGCAATGAAATCATTGGTAAAGGCAAAAATACAGTAAAAGTAGCAGATCAGCCACCTATGAAGATAATACAAAGGTCAAGAGACACAAGTACTAAAATTACCTATTTCAATGATAACAAGGTAATGGATACACACAAAATAAGATGTTAGATATGATATCAAAAAGAAAATGGGGGAGGAGGGGAGTAAAAGAGTAGAGTTTTCAGAAAGAAGTCAAACTAAAGAGGCCTTCAACTCAATATAGATTGCTGTATACCTAGATTATTATATATGAACCTCATGGTAATCACCAACCAGAAGCCTATAATAAATACACAAATAATTAAGAGAAAGGAACCCAAACATAATATTAAAGACAGCCATGAAACCACAAGGGAAGAGAGCAAGAGAAAAAGAAAGGAACAGAGAAGAACTACTAAAACACCCAGAAAAAAAGTAAAAAAGTGGTAATAAGTACATATTTATCAATAGCTGCTTTAAATGTCAATGGACTAAATGTTCCAATCGAAAGGCATAGGATGGCCAATTAGATAAAATAATAAGACTGAGACATATGCTGTACATCAGAGACACACACTTCAGACCCTCGCAAACTGAAAGTAAAAGGATGGAAAGAGCTACTCCATGCAAATGGCAGAGAAAATAAAGCTGGGATAGCAATACTTGTATCAGACAAAATAGACTTTGAAACAAAAACTGTAATGAGACAAAAAAGGGCACTACGTAATGATAAAGGAAACAATCCGACAAGAGGATATAAGACTTGTAAATACCTGTGCACCCAACATAGCAGCACCTAAGTATATAAAGCAATTATTAACAGACATAAAAG